TCTTAACTTAATTGGTAAATTGCATGTTATTATTTTTAAAAATAATATCATATGAATGTCATTATACATAAATGACTTAAATATATTGATCATGATCGAAATATATGATTCTCATTAATTTGTACATTTTACTCATTAATATTAGTACTTTTTGCCTGACATTCATATCACAGTTTCTGTGGACAATGGGAACCTTTTATGGTCCAGGTGCTCAGCACATTTATGCCAACAGTAGTCATAAAACAAATCAATACAATAAGTACACAGAATATTCTGGTATAGAAAGTGGTGTCCCCATGATGTAGCAAGTACATTACTACTATTAATTTACTTTTAAACTTATAGCTTTTTGTTAAAAAATGTGCACAATTAAAAAAATCATAAGTTATTCTTATAAGTCAATTATAAAATCATAAACATACTTCATTTTTATTATTATAATGCAATTATCGATTAATACATTTCAAAATACATGGTTTTAGATTATAGTTATAAAACACAATATTCTGTACATTTATAATGATATAATATTAAGTGCAATAAGTCATACGATATAATTTAGTGGACTTTATAATTTAAATGATATATTGCATGCGATCATTTTAAAAATATACCTATTTACCGATATTCATACTAGGTAAATTACTTAAAGTATAATTTTTATGATTTTTAGCCCAAGCATTAATCGTAAAATAAGTTTATTTTCAAATATCAGTTTTAATTAGTATATTATAAAAATAATGTTTGTAAGATAGTGCTATAAAATAATATAATTATATTAAACTTATTGTATTCAAAATATTTATCATTGACTCGATTTATAACATAGATACTAATAATAATACATTTAGAAATAATTAAAAGAAATTCATAATGAGTACATAATTTAACCCTGATACATACAAGAATTGGTAGAATTCCCAGTTATTCATAGGAAACAAGTCATAGCAATAGACACCAATTGAAGGTCCGGACAGTCGCTCAATAAATGCATGGATTTTGAGTTTATATTTTGTGGGAATTTTAGTCCATTTTTGTTGATAACCATAGAGTTGAGGCAGAGATTTATGGGCGGCTTTTGTGATCCAGGTGCTCATTATATTCATACCAATTGTGGCAGAAAAGCATATAATGACAATAAACGCAAAGAATATTCTACCGATTAAATTGGTGTCCCTGTGATGGGACCCGTATAGGGCTATTAGAAACCCTGGTGTTGTTATGTAATACATGATAAATGTAATGCATCTAAAAAAATAATTACAATCCTTGATCAATTTTTCATAGTATGAATGCTCCCGAATAGCCAGTACAAGTAGATTAAGTGTATAATAATGTGAATCCATAGACTTAATACATGTATTTATTTTTGAATTAATTTCCTTGAATTTATATTTGCCGTACAGGGCTAAGATGAACCATATGGTAAACCCGCACCATAATATGCCGTATGTTTGCAGCAGAAATACTTGCATGGTAATAGATCCAATAATTAGACTAATAACTGGTACATTTGATGTTGGATTCATAAGTACTAGTACTATTCCCGTAACCCATAATAACGTGGTCGCAAGTAGTGATATTATTATTAATTGATGAAACATATACTTTACCCAAATGTTGACCTTGCTTATCCATCGAAACATGCTTATCTCAGTAAGTGGATATAAATTCAATGTATATTTAAATAAATATACAGTTGTATAGGTATATAGTGTATGGGTGAGCTCCTGGTATAGACAGACACATCCGATACACAATATGCCCAAAGAAAATATACTGATTATGGAGTCGCTCAGCACCGGGTTAGCCAACTCCAGGGTCCAGTCACTCATCAAGCTATACATCCATGGCTACATAAAATATGTTTTAATTTTTATATCAACATGATTAGTCTAAATAAATGTATACTTTATGTACTAATGTGATACCTTATTGATAACTACACATAAAGCAAATCTTATACAATTTAGCAAGCACATGATTCTCGTAAATATGATTATCATCAGTCGTTGTTTATTAAACTTTCCTGGTAATTTTAAGCATTATCATTAAATACTATTAAAATTTCATGAGACTTACCTGACACATATTCCTCACTATCCCTATAGACTGACACATAATACATACGAAATAGTTTTTCTACTCTTTCGATACAATCAGCGAAAGTTTTATTTAGTTTATCGCTATATATTTTAGGCATTATATAATTTTACCCAGTTTATTTATAATAAATATAATTTAACAAGGTTTAATGCTATCACTGATGAAAATTAGATTGTTTGTGAGTTTTTTATATATAAAATATACATATTTAATGATTCATTAAACAATATTATAAGTTATGTTTATAAATATACATTTTAAATATTGATTATCTATTATAAGAAACTATTATTTCTTGCAAATGACAACAAATTGACAGTGATTTATGATTTTGAATATTAGCTTTTAAAACAAATACTATTTAATTATGCTATTTCATAACAACCTTCATATATAATATTATTATCAATATCTTTATTGTTACGGAGGCGTAACTTTATTTATTAAACTTTACACTAATATTAAACAATGTATCATGTTACTTTCAACACTTTATATAATAACTTGCATTGTATGCTAAGGAAAATCTTTATGTTTGTGTCCAGAAATGTAAAATTCATTAGCTAGGCCTTTTAGGCCACTTTTCTACCTTTTATGTTACTTTCAATAAATGTCCTATTTTTATATAACCCTGGTCAACTTATTTATTTCCTAAATTATGTAAATAGCCTAAAAGCTATTTAACATTATATTTCAATAATTTAATGCCAAGATATTTAATGTATAGTCAGTCCTGAAATTTATTTGAAAGTTTTGTAAACAAATCCATTATAAGGAAATAATTAGCGCCAGAGATCCGCAAGAATTGATAGAATTCCCAATAATTCATAGGAAACAAATCATAGCAATAGAAACCAATTGAAGGTCCGGACAGTCTCTCAATAAATGCATGGATTTTGAGTTTATATTTTGCGGAAACTTTAGTACAGTTTGTCTGATAGTTGTACAGGTGCTTTATTGGCTTATGGGCAGCCCCTGTGATCCAGGTGCTCATTATATTCATACCGATAGTTGCTGTAAAACATACTAGCACGATAAATACAAAGAACATTCTGATATATAATTTGCTGCTTTTATCGTGTATCCCTATGAGTGATATTTGAAACCCTGGTGTTGTTATGTAGTAAATGATAAAGGTTATACATCTGAAAAATGTATTAAACTGTTTTGTAACCCTTTGGTAAACTATATGCTCACGAATAGCCCGCATAAGTAGCACATGAGTAAACATATTTGAATTCCTAGATTTAATACATGTATGTATTTTTGCATTGATTTCATTGAATTTATATTAGATATATAATGAAACCATAAACCACAGGGTGAACCCACACCATAATATGCTGTATGTTTGTAACAACATAATCTGCATAATAATTGTGCCTGATATTAGGCTTATAATAGGTATATCCGATTTATGATCCGTTAGTATTAATACCGTTCCGCTTATAACTAATAACGCGGTTAGAAGTAATGATATGACTATTAATTGATTTAGAAAATATTTAGCCAGTACATATGATTTGGCACATAACTTTTTTAAATTAATGGCACTCAAAGGGTATAAATTCAATTTATATTTAATGAGATATATTTGTGAATAGATGGGAAAGGTATGCGTCAGCTCCTGGTATATACCGACACATCCGATACACAATATTCCCAATGAAAATATACTGATTATTGCATCGGATATCATCGGGTTAACCAACTCTAGGGTCCAATCACAGGTCATGTCATATACCCAACGCTATTTTTATACGCGTAATTATAGATACAGTATTAGCAAGGTAAATTCAATAAGAAAAGTAATTTAAATAAAAATTATTTTTACCTCATGAATTACTGTGCATAATGCAAATCGAATAAAATTAAGCAAGCAAATAATTCTGGTAATTATAACTATAACAAGGCGTTTCATACTCAAATATCTTGGTTGATAAAAATTTGCTACTTAATTACGAAATAATTTTATTTAATAGTACGACTTACCGGAAACATATTCGTCGTAGTTTCTGTAGATTACAACATAATATAACCTTGCTGTTTTCACTACTTCATCGTAACAGTCAACAAATGATTTATTCAAATGTTTTGTTTGTTTATATTTTTTCGTTAGAAACTTTTTAGTCATTATATTTAATATAGATATAGTATTATTATAAATATTAATAGTATTATATTTAATGAATACAATTTAATTATAATATTATTGTAGTAGACTACTTAAATTATTATTGTTTTTAATTAGAAATTAAATTATTTATTTATTTATTTAAAAATAAAATATATTATTTTTAAGATTTTATAATACTAATTAACATTTAAAAATAATGATTATTAAATAATAATTGTTTAATTGTTAGTTGCTATAAGTTTTAATAACAAAATCTACTTTATGAGCTAAAAGTTTTTAGCCTAATGCAATAAGTTGTAATAAATAATACTCTACTTGAAAAATTTTTATAATAATTTTATTATTTAAACATAAAACTATAATTAATCAATAAACCAATAATGTACTAGTATGCTTTTCTATTATAATTAATCAATAATCCAATAATGTACTGGTACGCTTTTTTAATAAACTCATATTGACTCATATAACATAAAATTATGAATTAAAACAATTTATATGATAAGTTTGTTATACTTTTATATTTAGTATAATTTTAATTTTATTTATTATTATTGTCAAAAATTAATATAACACTTTTAGCATTAAATTATAAATACATTTTTATTTATATATTTACCAATAAATACAATAATTATCCTAATACTTACTTCTAATTTAAAATTGAAACACACTTATCGCTATTAAACGCATCTTGTTTCATTTTCTCAGTCCTCCATATAATGAACATAAGCAATGAAAACACCGTGATACTGACCCCGAGCATAAGCGCCTCAAATAGTATAAACATATCGGAAAAAGACTTAATATACAGTCCGATGAGATATGGGGGCAGTATATTGAATGACGACATGAATACTATGAGTACCGTTCCCACCATATCAGTCATACGGATGTGTTGGCCAACGAATGCGAATATGGACTGTATTATAGCCGATATGCCGATCCCCATGACCACATTGGCCACGTATAGCATGGTCATATTACTGCGACCAAACACCAGGCATACGATACCTAAACAGAATATTCTTGATTAATTGTAATAGGTACAAATATAGAATTAATTTTATATAAATGTCATAAAATAAATTATTTTTAAATGTTTGGCGCTAGTTACATTTTAAAAAATAAATTTTCTATATTTTTTAACAATTAAAAATTCATTATAAACATAAGAGGTATCAGGGTCGTACCTATTACACAGGCTAGATGGTGGATAATAAGCATGTATTTCGAGGACAGTTTAATGGCCACAAAAATGCTGAGCCCTCTGAACACCGTGTAGGGTGTGGTGAACGCCGTGATTACATCCATGGCCTTTGTGGCACTGACCTTAAGGGGACAGTATTGAAAGTACGTGGATGCAAATGTGTAGTACGAAGCCTCGACCAAATTAAAACTGCCAACAAATACACCGCCTAATAGTATGGCCGGCCATCGATATTTAGGGTATTTGTCAAATAATTTCCACTGGTCACCAGGGTCAGTGTTGGTGACCGACTCCCGGTGCTTGCCGGAGTGATTGTCTAGTGTCTGATCTGATGTTTTGTCATTTTGAGTATCACTTGGGTTTCGGTAGCGTTTTATAACATACATAATGATTAGTAGTATAGGAACTGTAATCAAGTATAAAATGTAATTAAAATATAAAATTAAGTTTATGTTAAATAATTTTGGGTAATACAATACGAAGTTTTTTTATAATTAAAAAATAATAAGTTAATTAAATTATTGTGTATTACAGATAAAATATTAATTAACTTTTAATTACACTAGTTAATTAAATATTTTAACTTTTTACATAAAGTACTAATATAATAAATTATATTCACGCGTAAATTAATTCTCAATTATAAAATCATATTATTATTAGTAGTGATAAACTTGTTAATACTTACAAATCATTTGTATGATTCCCAGTATAAGGAAAGGTGTCTTTAATAGTGAGCGCCTGTGCTCCTCATAGTCTTCATTGTAGGCATAGGTTACCGAATCAGGTGTTGACACCGTAATACCGGTGCCAGTGGTGGTGGTGTCTGAATCACCCGAGTATTTATCCCTTAAAAAGGGTTTCAGTAGTAGGGGTGACACGATAGTCCCCAACCCAAAGGTCAGCCCCGGTACCTGTAGTACGGGTGCACTCTTCTGGAGCCACATCTCTATGATCCATACGTTCACCACACAGTTGATGATACCGGAGCCCATGCCCAGCCCTATGGCGCACGTGTACAGTATGTATAGATTAGGGGAAAATAAGTACATTGGTTTCATTTAGATGGGAAAGCAATGTTTCAAAACATATAGAAAATACAAAAATTTTTACTTTTATGACTTTTATATCTATTGAATATCACAATCTCAGCCCATATTTGAAAACTTCCACACATTAAACTCATTGTAAAATTATTGCCTAATATTTTAAGGAATTGTAGAAATATTAGATAAAATTTTATACAAACTTAAATTAAAACAAACAAATATTTGTTGTTTAACACAAACAGAATAACTGTGTAAAATTAATAAATTATATACTAATAATTTATATATTATGATGTATGTTATCATATACATTATGGATTAACTAGTATTTAGTAAGTTTCACGAGTACTTAATGTGAAAATATTATTAATAATATATAAATATCACAATTAGCAACGGTTTATGAAATAACAATTAACATTAAAAATATATTGCAAGTATTTTTTGAAAATTACATTAAGATACATTTAAATACTATATTGTCCTATAACAATTATTAACATATTTAAAAATTAACCTTGTAATCTAATAGTTACAATGTCTAAAAATACATAATTAATAGTGAAACTTCCCAATGACAAAAAATTAAAAATTTGCCCAAAATAATTGTCTGTTGCATCATAATGACGTACTTATAGTAAACAGGGACAATTTAATTAAAATGCACTACAGTACACAAATGTACTACTTAATTGATAAATCTAAATAATATTAACTCTAAAGTACAGTACACAAAATGATTCATGAATTTCATTTATACATACAATAAAACTTATATAATAGCAATATAGAAATAATATTCTAAAATACAATAACCCTGCTCATAAAGGTAAGCAAGTTCATTTTAGGACATTAAGTTCGCTATGTACGCCAAGTACTTTTCGTATACGAGCTAGTTACCCTAATGCACCCGACAAAACAACATCATATTATCGTAATTTTATCAATATCATACTGTATTAATAATTATATTATACATTACAGTGCATTAAATAACATGATAAAATTAGTAACCCGTACTATATTATGTAGTCATACTGTACTGTACTATAAATCTTGTCGATACTAGCGCTGTATTACGTGACGACTATTTGATTGTAAACGTTGTGTACAGTCTCTACGACTATGACATCACTTGTCTCATGAAAAGCAACAAAATCTTAATATAAAGTGTGAGTACTATAGAGAAAATAGTTTTAAATAAGACTAGACTTGAAAAGTGTTAACAAAAAAGTAAGAAAATCAAATTACAATTTAAAAACAAATTAATTTCAGTACGAATTGATTCACACGTATTGTTATATAATAATATAAAAGTGGATAATAATAATATTTTTTGAATTAAATATTTGATTCACAAGTTTGTAATTTAAAACTTTTTACGTGAATATAGTAACGTAAAAATATATATATTTAACTCTATGTTGTGTGTAAAAAAGTTATTTAAAACTTTTAATCAAAAGTTAAAATATAAGCAAAAGCTATAATTTTTCACATAAAAGCTATAAATAGTGATAAAATATTTTTTGTGGACAGTCT